ATGCTACATAATTATTTTGGTATCTATATTTGTATCTATAATATGACATTGAGGTTACGTTTCTTGAGGTAAGATTTACAAACCCCCAAAAACTGTATGCGACTCCGTCGGTAAATCAAACCACTCCAGCATCCCCTTAAAATAGATTTATGTTGAATAATTATATCAAAATAAATAACACTTAATGTACAACAACATTTTTGTAAGTAATTAGAAAATTACATATGAGACACACATATAAAATATGTTAAATAATTTATTTAATAATAAATATTTCTTAAAGCTTCTCAAATGGTAAGTATTGAAATGTCATTAAGAAACGAAAATATTCAATTAAATGTAAGGACAAATAGATCTTTAGTCTAACTAAGAGTAAAAAGTTCAAAAGATATAATGTGTGTGTGTTTATATTATGTATACAATACTATACATATAAAATTCTATGTACTATATCTTTAGCATTGCTTTGTTAGTGTGTTGCTAATATGCAATATTACTAATTGTAAGAGTTTACAGAAACGTTAAAAGAAATTTTATAAAATTATGCTATTATATTCCTAAAGTGGTGTACTTAACATACACTAATTATGATTTAGAGTATTAAGGCCATGGCTGCACAACGAATGGATATTCTCGTTGACGCCGACAGGCAGAGAGCAAAAGAAGATTCTGAAAATATTACATGGATTTACTGAACGAGTACGTCAAAATGCTACTTAATATTATATTTGGACATTATCTACTTTCTGAATCTAAAAATTACTATAAGGATTTTATAATTATTGCACAGAAACAATGACATAATTTATAAATGTTGACTGTACGTTATTAATGAATAGCACATATACAACATCGAAGAAACATTAATATTGTTTTTACATAGATTATTGCTGAAAGAAAACTTTATCATAATCGTACTAATAATCGATATTTACAAAGTTCTGATAATGACACACCAACAGAAGGAGATGACGCAGAAGCAATTGGAAGTGCGTAATCAATAATTATTCTTTTAATCTGTTTGATGTTTAATATCGTGAATTGTATTTTATTATATTAATATTATGATTTATAATTTAAATATGGCTTAAATTCTCAATGTAGTCAATGTTGTAGTATGAAAGTAGTAGAAAGTAGTATAGTTGTAGTATGAAAGTGTTACAGAAGAAGTTGGTTATTTATTTAAAGACACATGCTTATATGTATATTTCGATTTAGTACGAAGAAAACGGTTTGCAATGTTGGACCTTCTAATAGCGGCATCTCGAGAGGGTCTTATGACTGATTTAGATATCAGAGAAGAAGTCGATACCTTTATGTTTGAAGTAGGTATACATTTGTAATATCCGTTATAACTTTTTAAAATATTATTTGTGTGTAGATAGAGATACATACATATATGTATACAATAACACATGAATGTATATTGATTTTGTAGGGTCACGATACTACGGCAACAGCTCTATGTTTTATTTTGGCACTATTAGCTGAACATAAGGACATTCAGGTACCCATTGTCAAATGTAATCCGCCATTTTATGAATTTAATTAATTTCAAAAGTTATTTATTGAAAATATTTCTACACATATAAAATTTCTTAAATGTCCTTTTTAGTATATGTTTACATGTGTATCTAATATATGTGTCACACACTAGGGTAAATTCTGAAAATATTACAAGGTGAGAAGTTGTCTAACGTTGTCTTTATTTTGATAAAATTTTGATCGAGAAACAGGAATACATTTCCGATTTTTGTAAGTAAAGCACAAAATGCTTTCTCTTACTTTTTTTCTAAGTGATTGTTATAATACCATAAGCTGAGGAAACTTCGTGAATAGTGGAGTGACTTTGTGACACACGGCAAATTTTTTATTATTTTGAATCATGTATCACAAAGCTACTTTGCTATCCACAAATTAACCCCCGCTTATGGTACTGATCTATTTTCCATTAGACATATATTCATTTACAACATTCATTTTAATAAATAAAATACTCTTTTAAGTTATTTCTACATTTTATGAACTTTTTCTTATTTCTTGCACTCAAAAAGTAAGAGATCCATATTACCAGCACATTATGTCTTCCCACTCAACTCCTGACTTTTCGGTTTTCTTTACTATACGTATATGGTTTTTCGTGCGAGTGGAGATTTGTGAATTAGAAGTTAGAAATGGATTGTCAATAAAATAAGGAACTTAAGAATTCCAAGATTTAAAAAATGTAACTTACAAGACATCTCTTAACAACAAAATATGGTTTTATGTTCCTATTTTTTCCTCTATACAGGGTGTCAGATTCGATATGGACAATCCCAAAGATTATAGTAGATTGGGTTAAACTGAGAAGAAAAGTTATATAAAATTTTACAAAATCGTAATTATTATCGGCCGAATTCAGAAAAACGTCTGAGCCAATAAGTGCACGGAGGAGCGGAAGGCCGGACTCGGCAGCATGCAAAATGGTGTGTTTGTTGACATCTCTCAAAAAACGATAGCGAACGCGTTCGCCCGCTCACCGCTCCCCGCTCCGCGCTTGCCACCGTCTCTCATCGATCGATGCGTGACTCCACCTCTCG